CATACACTGGACAGCTATTTAAATTTATGTTATAATTACATCAGCCATCCATCAATTATAAGCCATATATCAGATAACAGATAATAGATAATCAGAGTTGGAACCCCCCACCCAAGCGGGAGACCCAACACCATTTCTGACAAATGGCAGTCCAATCTCTTCTTGAAGGTCTCAAGTGATGGCACTCCCACAACTTCCGAGGGCAACTTCTCTTCCATGGATTGATTGTTCTGTCAGAAAACTTCTTATTTCCAGGTTGAATCTCTCCTTGTTCAGTTTCCATCCATTATTCCTTGTCTGGCCTTCGGGTGCCTTGGAAAATAGCTTGACCCCTTCCTCCTCTCTTGGCAGCCCCTCAAATATTGGAAGACTGCTCTCCTGTCTTCCCTGGTCCTTCTCTTCACTAGATTAGCCATGCCCAGTTCCTGTAACAGTTCTTCATATGTTTTAGTCTCCAGTCCCCTAATCATCCTGGTTGCTCTTCTCTGTACTTTTTCTAGAGTCTCAACATTTTTTTAATAATGTGGTGACCAAAACTGGATGCAGTACTCTAGGTGTGGTCTTACTAAGGCTTTATAGAATGGAATTAGTACCTCACTTGATCTTGATTGTATCCTTCTGTTAATGCAATATTACAATTATAAGCCATCCCGTGATCAAAATTTGGGCACCATTTGGGGCCTTTTCAGCTGGCTTTTAACTAAGTCAATGAGGAAAGTCGGATTTGTTTAATGACCACATGATTCATTTAACAACTGCAATGATTTGCTTGACAATCATGACAAAACAGGTCATAAAATCAGGCACTTAAGTACTGCTTTGCTTATCAATGGAGATTCTGCTCCATTGGAGATTCTGGTCATGAGGAGGACTACCTATAAGCCCAAATGGATTGCGTTCACACACCACATGCTGTGCTATAAACCATGTTTCACCAATCATAACACCCAAGCACATGCTGTCAGAAAAAGAGGCACCCGTGGATAAGCACCGTGTTTGCTTTATTATTATTTTAAAAAAGAGGTATGTACAACCTCTGAGTTCAAGGCACCTATTTTAACTTTTAAAAATCCTGTCCTCCCTTTACTCCTATCCAAAATAAATACGTAAATAAAAATGGAGAAGAGTTCTAACATTTCAGCACTAGTCAAGGAGTGGAGTTATGAGTACAACATCACCAGGCTTCCTCCGTTCCTTGGAGGTTGGGCTTTTCAAAGCGGAAAAATCTTCCAATGGAAAGAAATGGTCTGTTTCCAGATGTCGAGGGCTTGTTCCTTTGGCCTCTGGATAGAGCCAAACCTCTCTCTTCCAGAGGCTGCTGCCGCCTTTAAGGACCCATGGAGACTGGCTCTCAAAGGGAGGCAGATGTTCCATGGCAGGACAAAGCTTTTGCTAGCAGCCGCCTTTGTCTCCCGAGAAGGATGTTTCTCTCAATGAAACGGTCTATTTCGGATGCTCAAGTGCTCTCCTACAGCTGCCAAGCCTTTCCCAGTAAACAGCAGAATGCTGTGTGAAAAGAAACCCTGCAACCCTGTTTGGGAATGACTGCACAGAACAGCAAGAGTTAAGAAGCACTAAGGGAGCTTTCAAAGACACCTCCAGAGGTAACCGCGTCATCCGCTTTTGATGCCCCGATGCTCCTTCCTCCCTCCCTCCATCTTCCTGTTATGTAACCGTACTGAATGGCTTCCTCTGAAGCGTATCTTTCTCTAACACGTGACCACCCTGAGGATGGATAGGGCAAGACACAACAGATTCCCTGAACAATTGTGTAGCTGTCAGAACAAATGCCCAGCAATGTGAAGGCAGACTGGAAATGGGACTTAGCGTCCTCTGGTGCAGCTAAAAAGGGAAACGACTAGACTGGCTTTTGATGAGAAGCTCCATTGTCAGACTTGTTTTCAACCAAAATATATTTTATTTATCTTGCCTTTCTACCCTTCTTGCTGCATCCAGGGGTCCATTCGCAACCATTCCCGTTCTGGGGATTTTCCATAAAGGTTCTTACACAACTTCTCCAAAGGTAAACACGCTTCAGTCTGAGAAAGAACCATCTACCTTATCAAATATTTTAGGCTGCTGCTTGTTTGTTGTGCAACGCAACTGTTGCATACATTCCTTCATTCTGCACAATGTTCTTGAACAGACTGTTAAATGCTCCACAGCCTCTTCACTGGAGATTTTAAAGGAGAGATTGGGCAGCCATTTGTCTGAAATGGTGTAGTGTCTCTTGCATGAGCAGGGGTTTGGACTGTCTAGAAGACCTCCAAAGTTGCAACGTTTTGTTATTCTCTTTCAAACAACATGCTAGGCCATAATGTTCCTTGCTTGGCTTCGGTGTAGTGTGACGTGCGAATCCAGCCATTCTGAGTCATGGTTTACACAGCTTAGCATCTTATATTTACCTGGCAAATTATGGTATATTCTATTAACTATAGTTAAAACAAGGCAAAGTTTAGTCCAATCAAAATTGGGCTTTTTGTTCAGCCAGAGCCCATGAAGGTTCTGTTGACCATCTCCAAAGCTACAGAGTTTGCATGGAAGCAGAACAAGGAAGGAAGCAATATGGTCTTTGCAGATCACAGCTGGCAGTTGAGTTCCAAAGAGTACAAGCTTAAATGTCTAAACAATGTACAAAGGAAGTCCATGCAAAATGCCCTTCACTGGAGATTATCAGCAAAGCTTCATTAGATAGTTTTCTTCCAGAAATGGATCTATGCACTGCTTCTATGGAATCCAGAAACTTTGCCAAATTGTACATCTAACTTTTGGGGGAAAGTGGCCCACGCAGAATCATTTTTCCAGAATAAACACCCCTCCCAGCAAACAGTCTTGCTTATTTTAATGACTTCTGCAATGGAAAATAATTTGCCAGATTCAAGCATTGTGTCAAGCCACAAGATAGTTTGGCTTAATGTGCATAAGGCCAGCTCTCTGGTTTGCAAACTGCTTTGTGAACACAGCTAATTATGGTTGACTCGAAATCTGTATTTAACTTAAGTCTGGGGAATGTTTGAGCCCAGAATGGATGAACTGGTGGCCTCAAAAATAACCACTTGATCCAGTTTGATTTATTCTGTCAGGACAGAATAGCCTGCACACTGTCTTGTCCCAGGCTGTGGGTATAAAGTGTGGTTGAAACAGCTGGGGTAATTTAGCCAAAGCCTTTGAATCAGAGAACACTGTTTCATTTTTATTTATTTTAGAAATGTGTACAGCTGCTCAACTCTACGATGACTCTGGAAGTGTACAATAAAAGCAATCATATAATACAAGTGAACCCTACCCCTCACCCGCAATGCCAGAAGGAAAATAACCATTAAAAGACAATCAAACACATAGAAGCTGGTACTGCCTCTAACCCAAACCCTGGATAAAGTGTCAGGTTTTCAGAGGACTTTTTGAACATGGCTAAAGTAGGGGAAAGAGAAAAGGTGTTCCGTAGTCAAGCGCTGTGATGGAAAAGATATGTTGAAGATACTGCTTAATGGATGACCTGGAACATGGTCACTCTGTCCACTTATCCAGGCTGGATGCAAGCCACAGAGGTCTGATGGTCCTTTAGATCAGGGGTCTCCAACCTTGGCAAATTTAAGACTTGCGGACTTCAAATTCCAAAGTTCCTCAGCCAGCTTTGCAAAGCTGGTTGAGGAACTTTGAAAGTTGAAATCCACAAGTCTTAATGTTGCTGAGGCTGGAGACCCCTGCTTTAGATAACCAGGCCCGATGCCATGAAGGGTTTTAATAACAACCAGCACTTTGAACTGCTTGTGGAGGAATTATACGTACGCTGTAGTGTAAGGTAGCCTGCTCGTCTGAAGTACATCAGACCCTGTTCTAGAGCAGGGAAGTCCAACCGAGGCAACCTTAAGACTTGTGGACTTCAACTCCCAACTCTCATGCTGGCTGGGGAATTCTGGGAGTTGAAGTCCACAAGCCTTAAGTTGCCCAGGTTGGATACACCCCTGCTTTATAGTATGTAGTATGTCAGAGGCTGAGCTGGCCAGCCAGGGTTGAAAGACTCAATCTGGCCAGCCAGGGTTGTATAAGCTGCTTGACTGTGAATAGCAGAGCAGATTCTGCCTTCCTGCTTCTTTCTTATCCCCAAGGGTTCATATTCTCTCCCTCTCTCCCTCCCCTCTCTCTGTATCGCTCTCTCCCTCTCCCTCTTGTAGAGTTGTAATTGCAGGAATGTTCCTATCTCAGATGGCAAACCTCAGATAAAGAATGTTTACAAGCAAATACAACTCAGACAAACAAAGTCACTAATCTAAAGGAGGATTAGAGAGAGGAAGTAAACATATGTTAGACTTTAACTAGAGATAATTAATTGTGTTATTTACTATGCTAAACAGTAACGAAAGTTAAGCAGTAACCAAAGTTAACCAATGATTGAGGATAACTAAAAATGTGTATAAATGCAAGACTAGACTCCAATAAAGTTCATCATGATTCAGTTGATCATGATCGGGGTCCCCAACCACCCGGTCCCCGGACCGGTACAGGTCCGTGGAACAATTTCTACCGGGCTGCCAGTTTGCTGGGTGCCGCCATCTTGTTTTGATGAAAAAAGTCTTCCGGTGAGCTTTTCCGGGTAGAAAGCGGCGTTTGGGTGCTGAAAGAATCCTCGCGCCTTAGTTTCATCGGGGGGGGGCGGCTTCGAACAAAACTAAGGCACGAGGATTCTTTCAGCATGCATGGCAAGGTGAGCTAAGCAACCATCCCAAAGCCGTCGCGAAGCCCATCGACACAGATACAAAGGAGGAGTTGAAGGTGGCGGGGAGAAGCGGGAGACGGCTGGCTGGCCGGTCGCTCGGCTCGCCTTGCCATGCATGCTGATGCCGGTACCGGGCCGCGGATGATTTTGTGATGCCGGTACCGGGCCGCGGCACAAAAAAGGTTGGGGGCCACTGATCATGATCAAACAACTCGACTGCCTCGTCATTACAACACCCTCTCCCCTCTCTTTGTCTCTCTCCCTCTCTCCCCTTCTCTCTGTCTCTGTCTCTGTCTCTCTCTTCCTCCCTCCCTCTCTCTCTCATGCTTACAACGCCAACTTTCTTGCCAGGAATAGGTTGGGGTACAGCCTAAGACCTCCAGGAGGTTCTTCTGAGGTGGTGACCTTAGAAAAGGTAGCAACAGCCTTAGGCGGACAATAGTTTTGAATGTTGCTTCTTCCATTTTAATATTTTGGAATTAACTGTGCAGCAGCATTCAAATTTTACATTTAAAAAAAGTTTCAAGAGCAGCCTGCTTGGGTGAGCATAATATGCATAGAGTGGGATGTGCATCATCTGAGGTGTAAACATGGAATTGTAGTTGCAAACCTGGCCTATCGGAAAGCCTGCATTGAACAGAAGATTAAAGCTTTGATGCTCAGACCTCCAAACGATTAAGCTCTTGCTTCGTGTACGTTCTTTACAGATTTTCTGCCACAACATCATGGGGCTGGTATATTCCTTCTTTCCAGCCCTACCAAGGTAGTTGAAAAGGAACGATCTTTTGAAATCCAGTTTTATAGCTGCAGTTAATAGCTTTAAACCACGGTCGATCTTCCTTTTCTGGTTCTCTCCCAAGTTCGAAAGGGATGCCATCAGGATAGCAGGTAGCTGATTCTAGGCTGTGAGGTTGCAGTTTCCCTGCTATATTTTACTTTAAAGTGCAAGCAGATTTCCCTGAGGACAACACTGACTTCAATTTCTTCATTCACAATTTAGATCCATCTTTTTTCTTAAGCTCTTGCTGTAGTCCTGGTAGAAGGAGAAGCACATTGAAAGCACATTTAAGGCAACTGTTTCTAAGAAGCAGATGCTTCTTAAAGAAGTGAAGCCTTCATAGCAGGAGATCTCAGGAACGTGTCCATCATCATGAAGAGCAATTCTGCAGGATGTCCAACATCTGGAGAGCAATTTTATATCAAAGGTGCTTTCTATCCCTTCAAAGGAAGGGGGGAAAAACAAATCCAGAAGATGCCCCAAAACAATTGGGGAGATATATTTCTTGCTTAGAGGCTAGATTTTGCCAAGGGGCTATCCGGGACCACCGAGCTGCCTATGCCTTCCAGAAGATTATCCCACTGGTCAAAATCTTCTTTGAGTTCTAGATGGAGAAAGCAAAGTGTTATTGCATCACAACAGAGCGGTGTAGAGAATCTGTTTGGTCTCTGCTGCTCATTGCTGCTACCGGCTCGAGAGAACCGGTCTGAACCGGTAGAATACCACCACTGATGTTGAGACTCTAGAAAGAGGGCAGAGAAGAGCAACAAAGACGATTAGGGGACTGGAGGCTAAACCATACGAAGAATGGTTGCAGGAATTGGGCATGTCTACCTTAATGAAAAGAAGGACTAGGGGGGTATTTGCTAAAAATTGGAAGAGTGAGAAAATTCCATCAGAGGAAGAAACTATTAAGAAAATATTGGATTGTGCTGAAATGAGTAGATTGACATTTGAAATTAGAGAACAAGAAGATAAACAATTTTATGAGGTTTGGGATCTTTTTTATCAATGGTTAGATAATAAAACACAATAATAGAATATTTAGACTTAGAATATAGTTTTCTTTGATATTATTTTTATAAAACTTTACTAAGATAGATTTGGTATGATCTTATGATTTGTTGTAAAATAAATTAAGTAAATTATAGTTATCTCGTTAAAGTATGAATTAACAAAATTATAGTTAAATGATTTCTCAGTAATGATACTAGGTTATACAACTGTTGATTGATAATATGAGTTATTATGTAATATAACTATAATGGCGTCTAGGAAACGGATGCACACAAAAAAAGTGGTAAACCAACCGATACACTGTTTGTAAATTTATGAAGGAGGATGATGTTTTTATGTTTTATGTTGTATGTTTTATGTGGTTTTGTTTGTTGTTAAAATCAATAAAAAAAATTTTTTTTAAAAAAAAAGAAGGACTAGGGGAGACATGATAGCAGTCTTCCAACATCTAAGCAGCTGCCCCAAAGAAGAGGGAGTCAAGCTATTCTCCAAAGCACCTAAAGGCAGGACAAGAAGCAACGAGTGGAATCTGATCAAGGAGAGAAGCAACCTAGAACTAAGGAGGAATTTCCTGATAGTTATAACAATTAATCCATGGAATGACTTCCCTCCAGAAGTTGTGAATGCTCCAACACTGGAAGTTTTTAAGAAGAGATTGAATGGCTATTATCTGAAATGGTGTAGGGTTTCCTGCTTGTGCAGGGGTTGGACTAGAAGACCTCCAAGGTCCCTTCAAACTCTGTTATTCTCTTATTGGCTCTTCTCAGCCCCCACCCTGAACGCTGCCCACTAACCTAGTTTGATTTTGCCTTTTATCTGATGGGTGTTTTGTTCTTTATAGGATGATGTCTCCTTTAGAGGAAGAAACAACTTTCACGCTATTGACTTACGGAGATGCTTTTGCAAGAAAGCGAGAGCAGCCTGGTTGGTGATATTCAGGCCTTCGTAGGGATCAATGGTACCCCTTGTCTTGTAGACCCGGTTGACAAGGTTCCCGGCAAAGAAGGTGAAATCAGTGTGACTCTGGTGGATGGTACCCCTAGGAGGAAAAACGTGTCAGTGTCAAAAGTGAATCACTGAGAAGAACAGGGTCCAAAATGGACCCCCATGTCCAAAGATTGGACATCTCCCAGATTTAGCAATTCAACATCTGCTGTGAAAGTCTACATCCGAGGTGCGATGACCCAGGGTGGGATACAAAAGCAACAAACTCACAAAAACAGATGAAGTCCCTTTAATTCCTTCAACTTGGCTTCAAAAGGTCCAATTATCATTGACTGGAGAAAAAACTCCCCCACAAACAGTTGCGAAAAGGAAGACCTTCCGTTCAAACTCAAAATACATATAAATTATAAATAGAAAAAAAACAACACAAACCACACTGAAGAAATTAATGAGACAAGGCAGGATAAGGGCTTGAAGACATCCACAGACATTGTAATACACACACTGGGAAGGACGCCAGAACTCAGATAAGAACTGACAAACTAGAAATATTTTCATGCTTTGCTTCCAGTCCATGGAAGCAGTTTGTCCCATGCGCAGTTTGTCCTTTTAAACAGTCCTCATAGCTGCAGCCCATGAAGGGGATCAAGGCCCTTTCCTCCCCCGTAGACCATGCCATTCACATTTCTCCCTTATCCACTCCTCCCTGCATGCCCTAGGATGAAGAGGGGATGGGCTATGCTGGCTGGAGAAATCTGGGAGTTGAAGTCTACAAGTCTTAAAGTTGTCAAGTTTGGGGACCCCTCATCTATACAATAAAAGAACACCCAGTAGGCAATTTGGAGTTTCAGAAGATACTGTGAAATCCAGTGCCTTGAAAGAGAACTTAACGATTGGAAATGTCCAACTTTTTTCAACTCTCAGCATGAAACTCCCAGGTTTGAAGGCAGCCTAGCTTCCAAGCATTTGCCTTGGAGAGCAATGGAGGGAAACTGCCTTATGTCCATTTCTGGTGCTTTGTGAAACAAAAGAAAACACCTCAGCAGTAACAGACACCCCTTTCGCCAATGCTAGCGGTAGAGTTCTTTGGGAACGGCGGGAGAGATTAGACAAAACACTGGGTCTGGTTTAGCAGAGCTTAAAGGGAAAAAAAGAGAGAAAGATAAAGCAGTGTGTTTTTCTCATCTTCACACAATCATCCATTGTCTGCAGATAAAAGCAACTCTACAAGGGATTTCTGGACAAGGGATTCTGACTATTTAGCAAGATGACAGAGATTTATTTTCCCTTCCTTCCTTCTTCAAAATTCATCTCAAAAAAAGCTTTGCCAGTGCTATTTTAAGACGCAGACCTGATGCTGCCTTTGCATGCCTGTCTGAAATGAGCGTCAAAACCATTCTACAAGAGTGTCATTCTTCAACACTAGCACGGGGAGGGGGGAAACGCACACACACTCACAAACCACACAGACACACCCATCTGGTAACATCTCCCTTTCGAAAGCTCTCAGTTTTAAGGGGCTGGTTTGCATTCATTTCACCTCCCGAGTCAAAAGGATTCCCTGGTTTTGGGCTATGCCAAATCCCAAATTAATTTTATGCAACTTATCAAAAAAGAGGCAATCCTACAAGGACACAACCCTGTTGGCTTTGCTAATCCATGCTGTTCTTTGTTGCTTACCATCTTTTTCTTCCTGATTTCTCCCTTTTTATTCCCCTAAATGGTCCCTCCCACTTCTCATTCCAGATACCACCTTATTTTTAACCTCCCCCTCCCCCCCTCACTCGTTCCTTGTGTCACATCTTCTTAGACTGCAAGCCTGCAGGGAAAGGCTGTGTGTGTGTGTGTGTGTGTGTGTGTGTGTGTGTGTGTCCAATCTGTGAATGACACCTTCTCTGATTGGGTATTCTCTACTACTACGGCAAAGGCGTTGATCACAGTTGGAGCCCAGGCAGACTCACAGGATTGTAATGATCTTGCTTTCACTGCTGGTGGCATTGATTTTTTTCATCTTGGCCACGCTCTCTGCCGTCTGGAACGACTCTGTGTTGATAAACAGCACCGGCTTGGTCACTTTGGGGTAAACAGAATTCTCCAAAGGGAACATCCATGCATCAAGGGCAACAGCGCATCTACCAGACAAAAATAAGCACAGGGCACCTAGTGAAGCAGGAGTCCAACATCTTGGCTTCTCACATAGCAATAGACTTATATACTGCTTCACAGTGTTTTCCAGCCCTCTCTAAGAGGTTTACATAGTCAGCCTGTTCCCTCCATCAATCTGGGTCCTCATTTTACCCACCTGGGAAGGATGGAAGGCTGAGTCAACCTTGAGCCGGTCAGAATTGAACTCCTGGCCATGAGTTATCCTGCAATACTGCATTCTAACCACTGCGCCACCATGGCTCCTTTGTTTGTCATTTATTTATTTATTTATTTGATTTGTCAATTGCTTACCAGATAATAGGTATAAGTATAAACATGAGTAAGAATACAGGAAGTAGGTACGAATAAATGGGGACAATAGGACAGGGACAGTAGGCACGATGGTACACTTATGCATGCCCCTTACAGACCTCCTAGGAATGGGGTGAGGTCAATAGCAGATAGTTTAAGGTTAAAGGAGTAGGGGGTTAGCAGATGTAACCACAGAGTCAGGTAGGGCATTCCAGGCATTGACCACTCTGTTGCTGAAGTAGTACTTTCCGCAATCGAGTTTGGAGCAGTTTACATTGAGTTTCTATCTGTTGTGTGCTTTTGTATTGTTGCAGTCGAAGCTGAAGTAATCATTGGTCATTGTAGCAGATAACTTTGTCTACTACGCTTAAGTCCAACCGTAGGTGGCGTAGTCAAGGTTGTCCAAGCCCAAAATCTCAAGCCTTGGTGATCCTTTGAGTTTGCAATTCTCTTTTAAAAAGAAGAAATTTTGGAAGATACTCACTTAAATTGGGCTTCTTTGACCAGAGCTAGCACTGCTGTTGCGCCTCCAAAAGAGTGACCCATGACAACTGCTTTGGTCAGATCCACATTGTCCTGCAAGGGGTAGGGTGAGAACACTTTAGGAAGCCAGCTCATTAATATCACAGCCCAAGAATCTCCAAACTGGGCAATGCTGGAAGGCTCCAGGGATGGTGACCAAATTTGCCATTCTGCTACTGGGAACTGCAGCTCCCAAGAAGCCCAGCCAGCTGTCCATTACAGATAGTCCTCAACTTACAACAGGTTGCTTAGCAACTGTTTGCAGCTACCATCTGCCTGAAAAGGGAACTTAAGGCCCAGATCCGATGTCCCAACAGTTGTCCACCCCAGTCATGTGATTGTATTCAGTGCTCAGCAGCAGAATTGCATGGTAGTATTTGTAGTATCCCACAGTTACGTGACTCTTACTACTTCCTGTTTTCTGCAAAAAGCATGACCATAGTGAATCATTGGTTCACTTAATTGCTGTGTTTGCTTGAGTGCTGCAAAAAATGACTTACAAAAAATGGATTTGACCAACATAAAATCCTGTTTTATGACCCTTATGACTTAGGCTCTATTACAGTTGTAATAAGGACAACCTATAGTGAGGAATGTTGGGAACTGTACTTAGGGAAAACCTCAATGAGTGACCATCCATTTACAAGAACAAGGGGAGATCCAGGATTCTATCAATAATAGGATCTCTCATTTTTATGGAAAAGAGAGAACCATTATATCCACAACCCATTTCAAATTTTCCATAGGAAAAAAACCAGAGAATTATACTACAACAATTCTGTAAAGCATCAGGTCTGTGAAGGCTGAAGCTCATCTGCCAGCTGTCAATATTGTACTAATAATTGGTGGTTTACACAATGTCTTTATGCACATTTACATGCAGATAAATACAAGTCTATACATTCCAAGCGAAAGTTCAAAAAGCTGTCTCTAAATTCCTTTTAATCTTCATCCTTTCTCTTAGAAATTACAGTTACCAAGGCATTGACAAAATCCCCATCGGTCAATTGCAAAAGGCAGCTTTACTTGGAACAGCTTACATTCTGAGATGATACCTTTAACATCGCCAAACAACATTTGTCTATCCCAGATACTTGGGAAGGATTCAACAGGTGGATAAAAGTGCCAAATCTAAGCATCTGGCTGGCTGTGCAACCAACAACAACAACAACAACAACAATAATAATAATACTGTGGAGTTCTTGGTGCTCTCTGAACTTGGTGGTTTACTTGCAGATGTTTCATAACTGGCAAACCGTACTCAACGAGTAGTCCTTCATGGGTCTAAGTCTACATGGAGGGAAGTAAGCAGTGGGGTGCCACAAGGTTCCGTCTTAGGCCCAGTACTCTTCAATATCTTCATTAATGACTTAGATGAGGGACTTAGAAGGGGAACTTACCAAATTTGCAGATAATACTAAGCTGACAGGAATAGCTAATACCCAGGAAGATAAGCTCAAGATCCAGATGGATCTTGACAGACTAGAACACTGGGCCATATCTAACAAAATGAATTTTCATTGTAGACAAAAGTAAAGTCCTACACGTAGGCAAGAAAAACCAAAAGTACACATATAGACTGGGTGAAACCAGGCTCAATAGCAGGAACTGTGAGAGGGATCTTGGAGTCCTAGTGGACAACCAGCTAAATATGAGCCAGCAGTGTGCAGCAGCAGCCAAAAAAGCTAATGCAATCCTACATTGTATTAACAGAGGGATACAGTCAAGATCAAGGGAAGTACTAATACCACTCTATAAAGCCTTAGTAAGACCACACCTAGAGTACTGCATCCAGTTTTGGTCACCACATTATAAAAAAGATGTTGAGACTCTGGAAAAAGTGCAGAGAAGAGCAACCAGGATGATTAGGGGACCGGAGGCTAAAACATACAATGAACAGTTGCAGGAACTGGGCTTGGCTAGTCTAGTAAAGAGAAGGACCCGGGGAGACATGATAGCAGTCTTCCAATATTTGAGGGGCTGCCACAGGGAGGAGGTGATCAAGCTATTTTCTAAAGCTCCTGTAGGCCAGACAAAGAATAATGGATGGAAACTGAACAAGGAGAGATTTAACCTGGAAATAAAGAGAAATTTTCTGACAGGGAGAACAATCAATCCATGGAACAGAAGTTGTCCTCTGAAGTTGTGGGAGTGCCATCACTGGAGGCTTTCAAGAAGAGGTTGGACTGCCATTTGTCAGAAATGGTGTAAGGTCTCCCGCTTGGGCGGGGGAGTTGGACTAGATGACCTACAAGGTCCCTTCCAACTCTGATTATCTATCTATCTCTAACTAGATAACATCATCACTTACCTAGTTGGATAAGGAAACACCTGCAAGCAAACTACCAAACTCAGTTCAACCCTGAGCTACAGATATCCTCTCCTATGCTCATCCTCAACATCTCATTTCTTTTCTGGTTGTGTTGTCATATACTTTCCATGTGCACAGATGGGTTCACTTTCTATGAAAAGAACAGGTCCTGGCGCCCCCTGGTGGCTGGCTGAAATCACAGGATTCCTTTGGGATTGAGACACAGGAGGAGTTGCAACCTCTGGTTTGGATTTATAAACTTGGGGGAACTGCCCCGGAAGGGCAAAGTAAGCCTATAAAAGGATGCAAGCTCCTTCTTTGCCGAAAAGGTGGGCAAGTCAGCTTTAAAACAAAAGCAAAATATCTCAAATATCCAGGAAAACAAGTTTCAGATACAAGACAGAAAAAGCATTGATACAATAAAAGACACGGGCCACTCTTTGGAAGAGAGCAAAATCCACCTTTTGGACAGAGAGGCCCACTGGTTTGAAAGAGGGGTCAAGAGGCCACCTGTGTCAAAATGGAACAGCCCTCTCTCAAGAAAGGGGGAGGGATACGGCATTGTCTACCTCTTGTCTACAATGCGGTCCTTTCAGCAGTTCCAAAAAGGCCTCACCCATTTGCACTACTAGGGTGACTCTGAGGACACAAATTAACCTCCAGGTAGACTCAACAACCCTCTAAAAGGATGCAAATGACCAGCTGTCTGCAAGGAATATAAATCCTTCCATTCCTCACCATCCAGTCAGAACTGAAGAAGCTCCTTGGATGAGAAGCGAAACTTCTTCAAAGAAAAAAACAGGAAGTCCAGTTGCCTCCTGAAAAAAGCACCTTTGGGACAGGACCTGGATAACTGAGAATCTCCATAGACCGGGGATCCCCAAACTTGGAAACTTTAAGACGTGGTCTTCAACTCCCAGAACAAGTCTTCAAGTTGCCAAGTTTGGAGACCTCCGCCAGAGACCTTCATACAATAGTGCTTAACCTTGATAGATGTTTTCTAAAATTCTTTGCCCCTAGGAAGATCTCCACTGCGTCAGTGGGGGTTGGAGGGTGGATGGGAAAGCCAACGAGCCCACCTGACAAAAATAGCATCGCACCCTGGTCACACGAGTCTCTCACCTCTTTCCTAAATCCATCTAAATATTGTGCATGTGTCCTAAAGGATCGGAGCCTGTTGAGCTCAGCAAGTTTACCTTCAGTACAGAGAGGTCAAAATCCGTGCGCAGAAGGTTTGCAACAACCTTGCCACTGTTGATGCTCTGCATCAGCCTGTATGCCCGTTTGCACTCGTTTGCTCTTTGATGGAGCTGCAGTGAAAAAAGGTTTAAAATTACACTTTGGTTCCTCAACTCTCTCTCTCTCACACACACACACAGGGTTAAGCCCAAGAATACAGCAGGATGCACAGAGAGTGTCAGGTTTCCAAGTCATAGCTCCACAGCAAGCAAAACTCCGAGGCAGGTAGATTCCTCAAAGAATAGCTTTATGGGATATATCATATTGGCACAGATCTGGGGAAAACCGACTCTGAAGGTTCCTGCAGTTTTCACCTAAGTGAAAGTTTGTTACTTCCTCAAAACAGTCAGCCACATGGTCTGATCATGGCTCTGTCTGGTTTCCTGGTGACATCCCTCCTCCTTCCTCTGACCTGGTGTGAGAATGTCCTTAGTTCCCGAGAGAAAGTATTTTATTTTGGCTACAAAGTCCCAGCTACCTCAAATATCTCCTCCCTGTCCCTCAAGTCCAGTGTGGCGACACTGAAGCTCCAAGATGGCTCCGGTCAGGTCAGCTTCAGGGTTGACAGAGAGATCAGATGAATGGATGAAGTTTGTGATATTCAAGACCGCTTTAAGCAGTGGTGGGATTCAAAAATATTTTTTTTACTACTGGTTCTTGGGGGCGTGGCTTGGTGGGTGTGGCATGGTGGGCATGGTGTGGTAGGCGTGGCAGGGGAAGGATACTGTAAAATCCCCCTTCCCTCCCCACCCCACTAACCTGCTTTCCAGCTCCGTTCTCCTGTGCAGGGCAACCAAAGAAGACCCAGCCAATCAGTTGGGACTTGGGAGGCGGAGAATAGATGGGGGTGGGGACAATCAGACGTGGTATTTGCTGGTTCTCCGAACTACTCAAAATTTCCACTACTGGTTCTCCAGAACTAGTCAGAACCTGCTGAATACCACCTCCGGCCTTAAGTTCCTTAAGTTTACTGTCTGAGATAGTCAAGATGAAATACCTGCGGGTTCCGGAATGGAAACTCCTTCTGATCTGTGGGTACCCTGCGGTAAGTGAGCCATTCTTCATGAATCGGAGCCTCGTGTAGCTCTGGTGCTTCTGGATCCAACTTGCAAAAATAAGTAGCAGAAGCTGACCGGTCCCTGGAAAGGGCAGGTATTTTGAGCATCAGCGTGAGGCAAGAACAGACAGGAAAACAAAGAAGGAAAGGAAATCTTCAGTTCCTCTGCTTTTTCTAAGCTCCTGCCTGAAGTCAAAAGTTTTCCAGTGTGTCATTACAATCTCTAACTCAGTTTTCCTCGGGCTCTATGTGACAAGACTTTCCTGGAAAGGAGGGATGATCTAATCTTAGCTTCATGGCGCTATAATTCTGAAATCAAAGGACACTTCAAGAAAGGGTTTCTGGAACTTGCGTCAGTCCTAGTATCTGTAGGTAGGGCAAATCATTAAATTACTGACATTAAAGGCGTTGAACTTCATAACTGATTGGTCTCAGCTCCCCCTTTCCTCAATTATTGATAGATTTGATTTTTATTCTGCCTTTATTACTGTAAAAGTAACTCGAGGCAATGAACATATGTAACATTTCTTCTTCTTACAAAACTGCACGAACAATTTCTTGAAAATAATGGCCACTAGTATCAAGAAATGAAATTTTAGGATAGATGCATCAAAGGCATATTTTTTATTTTAAAAAACCCCCATAAATACACGAATCTAATCTTAAAATGTCTTCTCTAAAGGGATTCAGTCTCACCTGTGCTCAAGAGCCATCACCAAAAAACCCCGAGAAGCCATCTCAATACAGACGGCCGAGTACGCGGTTCTGAAAATTGAAGAAGAAAGCAGATAATTAAAACTGAGGAATGCTACTTCTTTTAAATTACTTGGTACTGAAACAAGCACATCAGCAAAGATGAAGACAAAGTAAGGGGGTAGTAGAGTCTGCAAAAATCAACATGGTGATTGTGATGGCACAATGGAAGTACCACATAGATTTTAAGAGGATGATTGTTCAACCAGTTCCAGTGTTTCAGCTGTTTCTTGCAGATGTTCCCTTAATTAGGTATTCTCTAGCACTGGCTTTTTCAAACTTGACAACTTTCAGGTATGTGGACTTCAACTCCCAGAATTCCTTGACGTCTGCATATCTTAAAGTTGCCAAGTTTGGAAAACACTGTTTTACCTCTAAGCAAAATGAAACTACAAGTTAATAGCACTTAGACTTATATACTGCTTCACAGTGCTTTACAGCCCCCCACTCACATACCACCACCTCTTACAATACTAGACAACAAAGTATCAACAGTAGACCTTCAAATTTCTAGGTTCTACTATATCACATGGCCTAAAATGGGACACCTAACATCAAAAATGTCATCAATCAGAACCTGCTGAATACCACTTCTGCTAAAAAATACTTGAGTTTCTGCCATTCCTGGCTTGGAGCCAGGTGTGGAAGAAATACCCTTCTGGGTTCAGCTCCAAGTGGGAGAAAAGACCCTGGATTCATGGAAGTTGCTTGCAAAGGTTTATTGATGAACAGGGTCACATGCCTTAGAGATCCTGGGCGAAGCAAAGGGAAGAGATGCTGGGAGTCCCTGGGTTTTATGCCCTCTCTTGGGATTTGAACTTCCTGAGGCACAGGAAGGGTACCCTGACTGGCTGTCAGACTCCCATGGGGCGATGCTGGGGTACCTTGGTGGAATCCTGCTGGATGATGTAATCTTCCCAGGTGGCATGCGGTGAGATGGGTAGAGGGATAATCCTATCATGTCCTGAGGGCCAGGTCTTAATCCCATCACCCTGGAGCTGAAGGAGGAGGGTGGGAGCTGCTCTTTGTCCTTAAAACATCTTCCTCCTTTTCTCATCCAAGGAAATATAATATTCTACCTTTTAAAATATTTCCTAGAATATTTCATTCTTCTTGGAGAGGGGTGGATGCTAACCTTCTACACCAGCTTAGGGGAGAATCACCTGAGCCAAGTGAAGTCTACCTCAGTGCTCAGCGGAGGGGAATGTGCAGGAGGAAATTGGCCCTGGAAAGGGCTGAGGAAACATTCCTGTGCAAAACGTGGGAGAGGCAGCGACACTCGGGGCAGATCACATGAGCTCGGTCTATAAATATGTGTCTGTGTCGTATCTGACTCAACACTCCCTGAGGAAGGTGGGTCCTCCCGAGAGAAGACTTGGCAAGGATTTTTATATAGTGAGCCGGTCCTCCTGCTTTGCATACAGCCTGTTGCACGATCAATTTTCTGCATCCTCTGGAAAGAACTTCATTTCCTAGACAGTTTGGATCAGCCTTTTTAGATTGGAGATAATCGGTGCTCTACAGTGGCGGGATTCAAAATTTTTTACTATCAGTTCTGTGGGTGTGGCTTGGTGGGCGTGGCAGGGGAAGGATACTGCAAAATCCCCATTCCTTCCCCACCCCCCTAACCTGCTTTCCAGCTCCGTTCTCCTGTGCAGGGCAACCAAAGAAGACCCAGCCGATCAGCTGGGACTCAAGGGGAGGCAGAGAATAGATGGGGGCGGGGCCAGTCAGAGGTGGCATTTGCCGGTTCTCTGAACTACTTAAAATTTCCGCTACCGGTTCTCCAGAACTGGTCCAAACCTGCTGAATACCACCTCTGCTGCTGCCCAAATTTAGCGACACAATCAGAAAGGAGGTTTGAAAATGGCAAAAAAAAGATTTCTGGACCCCGCTGATTATTTTGCTGATATCTACTGAGACAGAGAGAAGGAGAACAAGGCTTCTGCTATAAAGCAGACAAGAGGCATATAGGATCTACTAGATTTCCATGACTATCATTCAAGAATCTCAGACTCGTGTATCAACACCAGCATCCTCATCCTCGGCCTTTCTGGACGAGTTGGTTTTCCATCCTATCTATACAACTCACCGAAAGGCTCCTAGTCCGTGGGAGAATATGATCAATGGGTACTTGTGAGAACAGGGTCGGAAAGGCGCATCCCAGCTTACAGGGATCTTACACGATCCTGTGAAAATGAAAAGAATATTTGTTTATATATACAGGTAGCCTTGACTTAGGACCAAATTTATGTTGTTAAGTGAGAAATGTGTGACCATTTTAGGGACCTTTCTTGCCACATTTGTTAAGCGAATCACTGCAGTTGTTAAGTGAGTCAAATGGTTGTTAAATGAATCTGGCTCCCCCATAGACCAGAAGACTCCAAATTTGGCAACTTTAAGACTTGTGGACTTCAACTCCCAGAATGTCAAGTTTGGGGACCCCTGTTGTAGACTTTGCTTGTCAGAAGGTCTCAAAAGGGGACCACATGACCCAGGGTCAGTGCAATTATCATAAATGTGAGTTTGTTCAGTGCCGTCATAACTTTGAACTGTCACAAAATGAACTGTTGTAAGTCCAGGACTACTTGTATATGTATATATCTACTTGTATATTTCTTAACTGTCCATCTCTCTCAACAAAGATTACCTAAGATATTGTGTGTTCCCTTGTATTATAAAAGTATGACTTTATCCAGGCAGTTATTGAAAAATTTCTAACCCACTTCCCTAAAGATGATAAACATGTTTTAAGAAAACATTATTTTTTTACCATTGAACAAGGCCTGGAAAGTACAATTAGAAAGGAGGACTCTAGTTCAGTATGAACAAATTGAATTGTACAGTGAAAAGATGAAGACTTGTAAAACTGTAATATTGGAATCCAAAAATATTCTCCTATTACCTTGCAAACTAGTTTGAAACACATGTCCAGAAGAGAAACATTAGGTATATACATATATAGATGTTCTTTAAATTTAAATAGTAAACATGGCAGGGAATTAAGCTAATTAGCTAATTCAATTCATTTATTTAAAGCTTTTTTAAAAAAATCTAATACCTACTTTTGGTTGCCTGATGATTTTTAAAAATATGCTTTATGTGGACGAATTATTATTTAGGGGAGATATCAAGATCATCATACCACATTTATGGGACAATAGATAACATTTAACAATGAAAAAATATAAACATGATTTATTATGATCTGATATGATATTTTGCAATCAGGTAAAGGTTTTACATTGCAGGACAGCAGATCATAGATCATATCTGTGTTGTTTGAAGAAATGTTCCAGTTTCAAGCTTGGTTAGTCTAGTGTTTCTTAACTATGGTGGCTTTAAGATAGAGATCTCCAAACTTGGCAACTTTAAGACATGTGGACTTCTGGGAGTTGAAGTCCACACCATCTTAAAGTTGCCAAGTTTGGGGACCCCTGGTTTAAGATCTGAGGACTTCAACATGCTGGCTGGGGAATTTTGGGAGTTGATCCAAAGATCTTAAAGCCACCATGGTTGAAAAACAGTGGATTAGGCAGAAGAACAGCTGTCCACACAGGTTTTCACTCAGTAATTCACAAGAAGCAGTTATCTTACCAAATGTGACACTGAGAAGTGGCGCAAACCATTTCCTATTCAAGTTCATGTAGTCAGCTAGTCCGGAGTAATATTCATAGCGGGGAATCCAGGACGGCTCCTCAGCTTCACTCTGAGGGACACAGGGGTAGAAGAGGCGGAAGAAGAGGCCCTATAGCAAAGAAGGGTCAAGTTAGTTTAGACCCCCGACTGTTGATTTCAAACTGCAGAAGAGTTTATTACAGCCATCTATATACTGTATAAGAATCTAGTCAACTAACAGTCAAAACTAAATTGACACTAGTAGATAAGGGTCAACAGAATTCACAGGGAGAAGGCTGGATTTGGGTCTCTTGTGGCAACACAGTGATTCTAAACCAATGACATGTTTTGACTCCACCTTCCAGCTGAGCCAACTCTTTTCCTATACAGTCCATCTTCGACCGACTTCAGCCCATCTCCCTTTTGGTACCTTAGAACTACCTCTCAGGACATACTCCATCACCTTCCTTATGCCTCTCAATTCCCTTTTTAATGCCTCTTTTCTGTGAATTCCTTGACCTAGCCTTTCATTTTCCCCTACCCCACTGCCACTCGAATATTTCTGCAGATGAGCCCAGGAAATATTGCCTGATGCAGTGTTTTATTTTCTTTTTTTAAGTCAAGTTTTTTATTTATATATAAGTATTTTGAATACAGCACGTTGTCCGGGCATTTCATTTTACAAAAGAAAAAAACAGATATACTAATAGTAATAATGATCATACACGTTAATAATTATAACCATATTTATAATTATGTTAGCTTATTGATATTAATCATGCTAGCATACATATAATTATGAACAACATTCATATTTTACTTAGATAACAATAATCTTTTGTCATCTAATTTCAACCTTTTATCTGTAACCATTGATAAACTCTATTCCACGTTGAATAGTATATATCACCTTTATCTTTTATTTTCAATGTCAATCTATCCATCTCTGCACAGTCCAATATTTTCCAAATTATATTTTCATCTGGTGGCGTATTCAGTTTTCCAATATTGTGCAAATACAATTCTTGCTGCTGTCAATAAATTTAACATTAAGTATATAGTCCCTTTATACTTATGATTCTGGTATTATACCTAACAAAAAAATTTCTGGCTTTAAATCTATATGCTTCTTTATCATCTTTTCCAGCCATGCATGTATTTTCATCCAATATTTTCCTGCTTTTATACATGTCCGCCACATATGATAATAGGTACCCAGTATCTGATTAAATTTCCAACATTCGGCGGACATGTTGTTAAACATTTTTGCTAATCTTGCGGGTGGCAAATGCCACCTGTAAAACATTTTATATCAGATGCAGCGTTTTCATTGTAGACAATCACACATGCTAATCATAGAAGTAGAATAGGCATATTGTCATGCTGTTCAAATGACCAAGGAAATGTCTTCAGATCCTGCTGGCTCCTTTGGCTAAGAAATGGAGATGAGTACCATCCCTCATAGTCTAGAATAGGCAGATATAGAGTAGCTTAGAGACCCTTGAAATAGTAAATGAAATTCAAACATTAAAAGAGAAAAGTCTGGGCTCAGGTCTAAGGTTTGGCCAGCTCAACATTTCTGGGATATTTATTTAAGGAACTTTCCATGTTACAGCTGATAAGTGCCTCATTCATTGGATGGTTATATTTGCTGTCATTCTTTCCCTTATGTAGGCCAGGCTTTACACAAGGAGTGGACTGACACACCTTTTCCCCGTGATGGCTCTTTCTGGAAAGCATAAAGCTTTTCCAGCTTCCTGTACTTCCTCATTTATATGCCAACGGGTTTCTCATCAATTGCAATGATTCAACTCTTCTCTGTGATATCATTCATATCTGCCTTCCTCAGTATGACGTGGACTGCAATTCCTGGAATTCTTCAGCTATCGGAGAGACAACGTATTTCATGGGTAACATCTTGGGTGAAGAGGAAGGAACTGGCCGAACCCCGCCCCCCCAAGAAACTTCTGGGGTTGATGGAGAACCAGACCTTGGATCTTCCCACTCCTAATCCAGCCCCTTCCCCACTAAATCACCAGGTTCTTGGGCTGAGAGGAAGGGACTGGCCCAAAGCTATATGGAGTTTCTATGGCTGAGCAAAGATTGGCACTTGGGTCTCTCCATTCCAAGTACAATGTTGCTCACACTCTGTAGTGTAAGACTTCTTCAAACATTGAACAGCTGTGATGGAACGTAGTGTGGATTTCTAGGAGGGAGGAGTACATTCCAAATGAACTAAGAGACTAAGAGTCCAGATATTTTGTGAGAAAGAAAGAGAGTGAGGAGAGTCCCTCCCTATCAGTTCCCAGGTAGATACAGATAATAAAGTGCTTAGTCTGGCAAGATTCTGTCTATAGGTGTGGAAACCACCAAGAATTCAGCTTGGAAGAATCACCATATGTCATTCTTGGTTTTGGGGCCTGACAAAAACTATATATTTGTTGTCCACTGATTCATCTCTATCTGAGCAGATACTCATACAACTGTTGTATGGGAGACTAATATATTTGTTTATGCAGGTTGTCCTTGCTTAATGGACCCTTGTTCAGCAACCATTTGAACTTACAATGGTGCTGAACGAGTACTACTTATGACCCATTCTTATAGTTGTGGCCATTGCAGCATCCTGAAAATCACGTGATCACAATCTGGATGCCCCGTTCCCAATTATGACATCAGAGCGCCCACATGTAATGTAATTGCCATTTGAAACCTTCACTGCTAGCTTCCAAGAAGCAAAGTCAATGGGGAATCCAGCAAGAGATTGTAAATGGTGACTGTGTGACATCGCACTTAACAATGTTGCGGGATTCATTTAACAACAGCAACTGGAAAGGCTGGAATTGCCATCATTAAGTGCTGCAGTCCACAATTGCCTTGATTAGTGACTGAAATTCCATCTCTATGGTCATTGTTAACCGAGGACTACCTGTGGTTTCCATAATAGGTCACGTGCCAATTTGACTTGAGCCAAGATAAAATATCTCCTGTGGAATATGGAAGATATTATAGAGAATTTGGAAGCTAAAAATTGTCCAGAGAACATATCCAATTGCACCAGACTAGTGTGCTAATTTTGGCTCTGTCATTTTCTAGATCTAAATTCCAAATGTTTAACTTCAATTAAGGCTTTATCAAGGCTGAGTAATGATATGACCAGGAGAGGCCACAATATGTCAGATCAGAATCAGTTCGATTCTCAGCGTCACAGTGACGAATTTACCGTGAATTTGATTTGGAAGATTACTTTTCACGGAATCCATGCTGCAGAGAAATTCATTGTATTTCCCTGTAGAAAAGTGGCAGTAAACATGTTTCTGTATTTATGTTCATATACAGGTAGTCCTCAGCTTATGACCACAATTGAGCCCAACATTTCTGTTGCTGAGATATTTGTTAAGTGAGTTTTGCCCCATTTTAGGACTTTTCTTGGCACAGTTGTTAAGTGAATCACTGCAGTTGTTAAATCAGTAACATGGTTGTTAAGTGAACCTGCTTTCCCCATTGACTTTGCTTGTCAGAAGGTCACAAAAGAGGATCCCATGACCCCTGGGGACACTGCAACTGTCATAAATATGAATCAGTTGTCAAGCATCCAAATGTAAATCACGTGACCATGGGAATGCTGCCACGGTCATAAGTGTCAACAATGGTCCTAAGTTGCTTTTTCAGTGGTGTAACTTCAAAAAGTCACTAAGCGAACTGTTGTAAGGTGAGGACTGCCTGTACTTCTCCATTCTCAAAGACGTGAGAATCTTAAGCACACAGAGAACAAGAAGGATGGATGAAGAGAGGGAGGGAGGCTAGCTGGGGAATTCTGTAAGTTGAAGTCCACAATCAAAGTTGTCTAGTCTGGAGAGCCTTGTGTGTTAGCGTTCCAGAAAAACAAACTCCACCACCAAAACTCCGAGACAGACATTTTCTCAAAGTTCCATTTTATTAGAGTTGTCATACTGTCACATCTGGGAAAACCTGAATCTGAGTGTTCCGGGTTTCCCCTCCGTAACTGAAAATCAAAGATCCATCCCACTGCACCCCTCATTCCATCACATGACCCAATCACCATCCGTTTTAGCTTGAGACATCCTCCAACCATTCCTTGTCCAAGGGCAGGATGACATGACCTTGACTGTAAAGGAGAATGCTATTACGTCTAACTACAATACACTCTAAGAAACCCCCCTCCCAATTTTTCAGGCATAGGAATATGGTAGTGTGGAAGCTTCCGGTGCTAATATGGCTTCCTAAACTGACACCTTGTCCTAGAACTGTAGTTCCCAACTTTTGGGGCACCAGGGACCAGTTCCATGGAGAGAGTTTTTTTTCCGTGGACTGGAAGGGGCCTGGTTTTGTGTGCTGCCTGTATACCATGGATGGGGCTTTGCTCGGATCTGTGAACCGGTTTCTGGAATGCCGCAGACTGGTGCCGGTTCATCGACTGGGGATTGTGGACCGCTGTCCTAGAAGATACTCAAGATGGAACATTTCCAGAGAGCACTTCTTAGTTAATCATCACCTCTACTTCTTTAAGACTATTACTCCTGTTGGACGCGTAGAATGAAGTTTCCAACAAGTTAGTGCTGTACTTATAATGACAATATTTATTATACAATGACAATATTTTATTGTTGCTTATTCTGATGGATTCATGGATGTTTCAACTCTATTGTACTGCATTGTGAATCCTTAGCAAGCCAGTGGTCTACAAATGTCTGCATTGTGAATCCTTAGCAAGTCAGTGGTCTACAAATGTAATACATAAATAACATTACTGTTTTGAGAACATGCCGTGAGTCTTAAAAAAAAAAGGCACTTCCTTATTAACCAAAGGAACAATGAACAATAGGTCATAAACATTTATTTTCCACAAAACCACTTCTCACTCATACATATTCTTATCTTTATTCCTGTAGGTGTCTGGTGTTTCCCCTGTATTTTTATTTTCTAACAAAGCCAATGGGTAAGTGTAAAGTGAAAGAAAGAAAGAAAGAAAGAAAGAAAGAAAGAAAGAAAGAAAGAAAGAAAGAAAGAAAGAAAGAAAGAAAGAAAGAAAGAA